TATTGCAAAGCTATACAAGGAACAACAATCATCGAAAACGAAGGCAAAGGGTAAATTCACAGTATACCGTGGACAAGGATTGCTCAAGGAAACATTTGAGAAAATGAAACGATCTCAAGATGGTATGATGTCTTTCAATAATTTCCTCTCGAGAAGTTTAGATCGACACGGATCACTCGAACTATTCGCACGGCCGGCTTCATATCAAAATCCTGATTCAGTAGGAATTCTGTTTGTTATCAGCATTAATCCCGAAGAATGTGAAAAATCAGGTATTCCATATGCTGATGTAAGCGAGATTGGAGTTTTTCAAGGCAACGAGTCTGAAATACTCTTCACCACAGATGCAATATTTTGCATTAATTCTGTTCGACCGATAGCTGATCATTATACAGATCGGCTTTGGAAAGTCGAACTTAATCTAACGGAAAATGATGATAATCAACTCAAAGCATTAATAGCACATGAGCAAAAAGAAAACCAAAACACAGGATGGGCTCGATTGAGTTCATTATTTCTAGAACTTAGACAACCTGAAATAGCAGAACAACTCTATAAAACACTTCTCCAGCAAACATCTGCTGATAGGAAGCAGGCTTATTATATTCATCAGTTGGGATCTGTGTACTATTTTAAGAACGAGAATTCAAAAGCAATGTCAAATTTTAAGAGATCGTTAGAAATATTTGAGAAAATACCTCCACCGAATCATCACTATCTAGCTACTGCTTACATGCATGTGGGTAATGTCCACAACCAAATGAGAGAATTTTCCAAAGCCTTAGCATTATACCAACAAGCATTTGAAATCCAGAAAATATCTCTTCCTCCGAATCATCCCCATGTAGCTACCTCTTTAATGAATATGGGTTCGATGTACTGTGATCTGGGAGATTACCATCAAGCACTTTCACTGTATCAACAAGCACTTGAAATCCAGAAAACAGCCCTTCCTCTGAATCATTCCAATTTTGTCGAGTAGTATATTAATATCGGTTTGACTAACTTGAAAATGGGCGAGTATTCTAAACCTCTAGAGTCACATCAGGAAGCACTGAAAATCTTTCAGATAGTTCTATCTCCGAATCATCCTAATTTGGCTGTAGGCTATGTGAACATCGGCGCTGTTTACTCTCACAAAGGCGAATATACTAAAGCTCTAGAATCATACGAACAAGCTCTTAATATCCGAAGAATAGCTCTACCATCGAGTAATCCGTCCTTAGCTGAGACGTTCAATATGATCGGCGACGTGCACTTGAGAATAGGCAATTCTGGTACAGCACTTTCATTGAACCAGCAGGTACTTGGCATCCAGAAAATAGCTCCTCCTCTAAATCATCCTCATTTGCCAAGTTCCTATGGCTACATCGGTACTGTGTATTCTGTCACGGGCGAGTATGCAAATGCACTTGAATCACATCAGCAGGCACTTAACATCAAGAAAATCGCTCTTCCTCCAAATAATCTTGACTTAGCTAAGTCATACGTGCGCATCGGCATTGTGTATCATCGTATGAACGAAGATTCTAAAGCACTAGAATCGCATCAAAATGCTCTTGAAATCTAAGGAATAGCTCTATCTCCGAACCATCCTGACTTAGCTATCACGTATGCGAACATCGACTTGGCATACACTCACATGGGCGAGTACTCTAAAGCACTAGAATCACGTGGACATGCGCTTGAAGTTTTTAAAAGTAATTCTTCCTCCCAATCATTCTGACTTTGCCGTTGCCAATACAAACATTGGTATCGTGTATTATAACATCGGCGATTAGTCAAATGCGCTCTCATCACATCACCAGGCACTTGAAATTCGTCATATACCGTTTCCTCCGAATCATCCACACATAGCTAGTTCTTACAGACACGTTGGTTTAATGTATAAATCTCTTAGTGAGTACTCAAAATCGCTTGAATATTATGAGAAAGAGTTGAAGATTAAGAAAACAATTCTTCCAGCGAATCATCCAGATTTAGCTGCTACATACTACAACATTGACTACATGTATTACAAGTTGACAGAGTACTCAAAAGCAGTTAGAGCACATCAGGTGGCACTTGAAATTCGTGAAACAGCTATTCCTCGAAGTGATTCTGACTTGGCTAGCTCGTATTTCGACATTGGTTTGGCATACTTTGTGGTGGGAGAGTACTCCAAAGCACTTGAGATTAGCAAAAAGGTTCTTTCTCCGAATCATCCTTATGTGGGCGATTGCTACAACAATATCGGAGAAGTCTATTGCAACATGCGTGATTACAAAAAAGCGCTTGCGGTAGATCAACAGGCACTTGAGATCATAATCGCACCTCTACCTGAGAATCATCGAGACTTAGCACATCCATACAATAATATCGGTATTGTCTACAATAAAATGAAAGAATTCTCGGAAGCATTGTCATACCAAACTCGAGCAGTTGAAATTCGAGAAAAGGCTTTACCACCAGATGACCTTGACTTGGCTACGTCGTATCATGATATTGCTGACGTATATAGTAATATCGGCGAATATTCTAAGGCACGTTCATTCAATGATCGAGAACTTACGATTCGAGAAAAAAACTGCCTAACAATCATTCTGACCTAGGCAAATCGTACAATGGTATTGGTGCCATGTTGAAACTCATCCTAATATTGAAACGCTGAAAGCAGACATAAAGAGAGTTGACAGTAAGATATAATCCATCATTCTTTCTTTTTCAAGACACTAAAGACGAGAATATATTTAGCATTTGTTGTTGTTTATATTACTTGACTTCAGGGTGTGTATCAGTTACCACGATAACCTATGTATAGATTATTTCGACGTTTCTAACTCAAATCTTATCAAGTGGCCTCAGTACCAGTACAAGAGATCCAAATCCTAGTTTTCGAACCAACACATGATACTTGTGGTGTGGGTGTGGGTGTAGGTGTGGTGTGGATGTGGATGTGGATGTGGGTGTTGTTCTTCTTGTACAGCACGCCCACACCCTCGAAATTTAGTAGCTCAGAGTTTTGTCCATTTTGAAAACAAAACATGCAAGTATAATATAAACGGTCCTTTATAAATTGTAGAGCTTTTCACGCTGCTCTTGTGGCATATTTTGTTTTTCAACACAACGTATTATGTGATAATAAAATGAAATGCAAAGATGCCACATTTTTTATGCCACATCAATTATGATCTAAATGCTACCAGCTAGTTTTCAGCAAAAACGGTTCTTGTCGAAATCTTATTATTATGATATTAGTTGAATAGTGATGAAATAGCGTAGAAAAATAAAGCGAAAGACGCTCTATCTGTTCATAAAAAGGAAAAATCTTTTCAATTTTTCTATAAGAAAAAAGGGTGTGGGTGTGTATATAGCTACCATAATACCTTTGATATTTCGATGCTGCTGAAATAATCTTATCAAGTGGCACAAGCATCAGCTTCAGAGATCCAAACAGAGTTCGAATCAAAGCATGACAGCAAAAATGTACCTGGTCGAAGACAAGTATATACACTCCAAGCAGAGGGTGTGTATATAGCTACCACAATACCTTTGCTATTTCGATGTTGCTGAAATATATGTTGTCAAGTGAAAAGAGATCTAGTGTAAAACATCGTAATGAATTGTGGTCAAAAAAAGTGAGCCCCACACATAAACTCCAAATTTGGAGCTCACTTACGCATCCATATTTTACCCATTCACACCAGTCCATTACATATAAACGATACCTAACAGTCCCATCTCATCAACTCCAGTCATAGACTATCAGCATATGTAACCGTAAATTAGTTACTTAATAAGTTCTCACCTGAAATATTACTCACATAAACCATTACTCAAGCTGATAAATGCTCACCTTAATTAGTACTCACGCTAGTTAGTACTCACCTTCAGCGGTCCTCAAGGCCTACTATAGGGCGTGTCGGTCTGGGTGTGTCCGTATCGTGATCTCGATCATCTCTACACCCACACCCACCCATATTTCAATGCATTTCGAAAGATTATGTTTTCCCAACAGAAACTATTCCTAAGAAAAAATAGATTCTTATGTCGTCTGATATTGAGTTTAATTCTGTGTAATATCATATAAATATTAAATTGAAAAGTAGACCAAAATATCTAGCAGTTTTGTTTCAAATTTTAAGACATCTTCGAAATTTCAGTATAATGGTTTCGTTGAAAATTTTAATCATTTTTTCGGATTTGTCACTTTCACGAAGTAATGATTGAGTAAGTGTTAATCATTTAAATTGTGTGCTGACAAGAAAAGCAAAGTTCAAAAATGCATTTGACGATTATATTATTAGAAAAATTCAATCCACTAGAAGATAAGATCAGAGCCAAGTTGACAAGCATTTTTCAAGTAATCATGTCGAAAATAGAAAACAAAAATATCCCATAGTTGCTGACTCATCAATCAAGCTCTTCGAAACAGTCTAAACAAAAGATGACACTTTAACTTATTTCAATAATATTGTCTCGTGTATAAATTTGATTAATATGAAATTAGTTCAAAACCATTTTAAAAAAATTCAAGATATGAAGAAAAAAATCGTATGTTTTTACATTGTTTCTATAGTTTGTTTTTAATTTCGTTGATGAGTAAATCAACTTTGTCTGGAGTCAATCCAAAATTAATCATTTGCTGACGTGCTTTATCAACGAGTGCATGCCACAAGTCTTTTTGATTAGCATATTTTGATTCGAGCACAGCAATAGCAATAGCCGTTGTTATAACATCTTCTATATCACTAATCTTTGATTTGAATGTTGCCATTGTTTTGCCTCCGGTTAACATTTCTATGTCATTATCGGTCAATTGCCATGCTCCATTGAATGATTGCTTGTTGATCAACCATCGAACATGATCAACGTTCACCGACGCTTCATTACTGGTCAATGTTGGTTCAGATGCCTCATCTGTCATGCTCTCTTTAACGAGCATTGCGCTATGCGTAGTTGTCGTAACACCAGCAGGCTGCCTGTAAGAAAGTGTCTCTAGTTAGTTTACTTATAATGATCAATATTGTCGCTTCAAAAGATAAAACGGTGAAAGTTTTGTGGAGAAAAATGACAAAACTATTGTAAATAGTTCAAACTTTCCAAATACGATAAACTACTTAACAAGAATACATACCAAAAAGAATTATTGCCAAGCTCCATTTTCAAATCATCGTCCTTAAGAAACAATACTCGAGAACTTGTCGCAAATTTTGCAGAACGCAAGCCTCGTGAATAACTGGGAAATAGGTGCTCATCATCTTTCGATATCTGAATAGGTATATGACGAACTTCAGGAGGAGTAGTTACATCGCTTCGGGTTGTCGTTGTTTCAACACCAACAAAAGCTGTGTATGGCGACAGAATTTGATGAGCCAGCGATAATGCAATAATTTGTTGTTCAATCGATTCCGTCTTATCCCTAAAAAAAAGACTTTTCAGTAACACGACTGCAAAACATAAGATTGACTTTTCAATGTTGTTCGTAGCCCTCTTCATATTCTCTAGTCTAATGAAAGTAAACTATTGTGGCGAATATTTTCGTTAGAGAAGAAAATATCTTCAGAATGATTTTATTCTACAGTACTTTTCTAAAATGTAAGGTTCTTAATGATCAAAATGATGCAACATTATTGAGAAAATCATTTTTGTAGTAAAGTTTCTCTTGGAAAATATTCTTCGATGTGAATATGTATATATATATATATATTTTCTTTTAATTTCGAGAATCATATTCAAATAAACAACTAATACAAGTATGTCTCTGATAAGGCTTTGATAAAAGTGAAACGATTTTTTTTTAATGAGATTTATTTCATGGAGAAAAGATGCATTAGAGATCTGATCGTGATTATAGCAAGTTTACAGTATTATTCTAATTATTGAGTCTTATTCGCATTTTGCTTTTGACTGTCGTATTTACTGAAGAATAGAACTCGTATGCCCATTGCTTGAGAGACATGCTCGTATTCCATTAATTTTCTCTTTTTGTTGACATATGCAAAGAAAACGAAAGTATCTACTCCTAGCAATCAGTGACCACGCATAATTGATTCTAAAGCATTTTGATCAACAAGAATAAAATTTGATTAAGACTCATATGACTATACATAAAAATATTCTAGAATCGATCTTGAAGCTATTTTGTGACCGAACAGTTTTTCATGAAATATAACACATGGTAGATTACAATGGAATGAACATGAAACATAGCTCAATGTCAATTTTATGCGCTCTGGATTATTATTCAACAAAAGAATCTTTGTTCATCTTATGATACTCACACAGTTGCATCGTTTTGTTTCATGTGTTGTAATTGTTGAATCATAGCTTTAGCTGCTAATCGACGTATTGTATCACCTTTGCGGTGGATATCATCAAGAGCAAATTTTGTCGAATCGATTGTTTTGCATCGTACACGAAAATTGACTTGAACAGTTTGTTGATCGAATTCATCATTCTCGAACATAGTATAGATGAGAACACGATCATCAGCATACAATGGTGGAATTACGTTTGGCGATTGAACAACACGCGATGATAAACCATGCCATTCGAGATGAGTATTGACAATAGATGGTTTAAGTGCTCGACGAAGTTGACTACCAACGTATGTGTCTACTTTTTCTCCTGGAGGAATAAAAACAAAATAACCATTCGTAACACGTGCAAGACCTTTGACTAAAGAACGAGATGGAGAATGACCAAGGCCAAATGTGAAAATTCGTGTAGTCGATGACATCAAATGACATAGTTCAATGACCTAATTTTTGTGCAAAAAAAGAAACAAAATTCTTTCGTTTGAACAAAGAAAATTCTCTATCAAACTTCATTTGTATTTGAAACTTCACCATCAGTCAAAATAAAGATTTGTCTCGATCGATCATTTGCTGGTGGATTATCTTTCAAATATCGAAGAGGATCCAATAGTTCTGTTCCACCAAAATCTGCTTGCATCGAATATGACAATTGTTCAGCTTGCTTAGCTGTTTCTTCGTTATAAGCAACGCTCATCATGTTACTTTCAAAAAGAATTCGATAATTTGATCCAAATTGAATAATATTGAAGTAGGAATTCAATGGTAGACTGCGTATAAAGAGAAGCATGGCTTCGCGTGCAAGACCTATTTTATTTTCGTCTTCCATCGATCCAGAGCAATCCACTGTAACAAAAGATCATATAAGAATAGTATCGATAAACATAGTTCAAGTGGATACTTGTGAAAATCTTTTTAAGTAATTTTTAATTATACTATTAATCAATTAGTTTTCAAAGATGAAAGATGTATTGTTGAATCGATCTCGAGAATTTTAGAGTCAAATATGAAGAAGTGAGCATATTTTTCATGGATATCTATTGTCCTCAACTAGAACTTCTTAATAATAGATATATGTATATATATCTGGTGTTTACAAATGTTTTCAATATTTTTTCTGTCGTATTTATTCTAGACTGAAAACCATTCTTGATTCCAATGTTGTCACAAAAAAAATGCAGAATTTGATTCTCTATCAAATTATATTTTTGTAATTCATATACTTCGACTAAGGGCATAACATTGAAGTCTCCCAAACTTATCAACGTCTTTTCATTGCTAGTTTCTAGTTATGAGTAGGTGTATAAAACACTTCACACATGTGATGCTCATGCTTGCTCACTTTTCACTTTTGTGTAATAATAACAATTTCTTTAAGAATCTATTCCAAAACTCATATCCTAGTAATATATGGATTCTCTCTTCAGTTAAACGTTCTTAGGACATGTCATTTAAGCTTTAATTTAAAAGAGAAATGAATTTGCTGAAAAATATTGTTATTATCAAAATAATGGATACTGTATAAATAAAATTAATTTTCTTTATTTATTTTCAACGAAAAACAAAAACAAAAATCTTATCTTAAATTAAAACTATACTGGTAATGATATAACATAAAAAATTCACTAGAAAATAATTAATATTTACAAAATTATTAATTTATACCGAATATCTGATAAAGAATGAACCTTTCAATAATTCGACGAAATCTTTTCGAGATTTCATTTCTTGATAATCAAATGTTTTATAAATAATCTAATTTCAATTTTCTACCAGATTATATGGAAAGAACAAATTTAAAACGTAAGTGTAAAAAAAATATGTTTCTCCTAAAAGACTTTTTCATACAAATTATTTTAATTTTCTTCTAATTTTACACAGTTTTTTCTCTGCATGTAGAAAAATTGATGTCATCATTTTGTAGTCCTTTAAAAAGTCCACAAGTTCAGTGATGATTGCAATCATTCTCAGCTTCAAAATTTGTATGAATATGAGCTTTGTTGTTACTTTATAGTAAAGTCAAAGATATAACGCTTTTATGGTCGAATTTTTCAAAAAATAAATTAAGAAAAAATATTTTTTTCCATCATCCTAGATGATTCAAACGATGTGAAATTCATTCTATACTATGTAAGAGATATGGAAGCAAATAATTTTCAATAAAAATTACTTCTAGTGCGACATCCAACGACTTGTCTGAACTTCCATTAGAAAAGACAAACCTGAACGTTTTGGAAAATTTGGATTACATTAGCTTGAAATTTTTTTTTTCGCTAGAAAAATAGAGATAATTCATTTGCAGAAAATTTGGCTTTGAAAAAGAGTCTTCTTAGGAAATGGAAAAGACTTCCTTTTTTCAGACATGATCTTCAAAAAATAGAGTACAAAAGAGGAATCCATATCATCTATCTACATCGAAACTCATGCTTAATATGATATTCAGTAATCTTAGATTATAGATTACTAACGAATAGTTGAAAATAGAATCGCAAATATTATTTCTTATCAAGAATATTTACTATAGGAGTAAGTTTATTTTTGTCATTAGTCGTTTCATTGTTTTCAAAAAGAAAATTTCACATTAACATACCAATGAAGATGAGTTCAGATTTCATATAGTTAGATTTGACCAAATTACGAGGAATTAATGTTGTAAGTGCAGCATATTTCGTCGTATCGTATTGTTCAATAGCAGTCAACATGGGTGGTGGAATTCTGGGCAAGTGAATATCGATGATAAAATCACGATCGAGTGCAACATCTTGTGTAGAAATATTGATCATTTCCGACGATGTACTAACATTGACCGGATGAGACAGATTAGCAACGCGAGAGATGCCGTCTAGAATAAGTCGAAGTATATTAATTCTTTATCAATTAAAATTTTTAGTAGAAAAATGCATCAAAACTTATGAATAAAAAAGTATTATGGTATTTGTATCTTCTTAAATACCAAATATCTCTTTTCAATGGCTATGCTCATCATCGTTGACTTAACTATATCAGATATAGATAATACATATAAATATTTAGAAAGGATTCACTCCACCTAAACGATTTTGACAGAAATATTATATTGATAATCGTCCATTTGATAACAAATCAATCAATTTTTTTAATGAAATATTGTTTCTAATAAACAAATACTTATGCTCGGGATTTAACAGTATTATTTATATTTATCAAAGTTTGAAACGAACACATCGACATTGTGAACAAAGTTCGATCAGACTCATTTTCATTGAGAGAATTTGAAGAAAAATCAAATTTTTGAAATGTACGCTTTAGAGGAAAGATTTGTTATGACGATTGAATGAAGTTAATTAATTCATTTTCAATTAACACAATTTATCGTACAGTTTTAAGAATGTTACAGATATTGTGTTGATGTTTTTCAACACAAATCGTTTTGTTTAATGATCAATCAAATGATAGGACTTCAATTGGTTTCATTGATTCTGTTCAAAATGACAGTTTAGAGATAAAAAATTTCTTCAAAGGAAAAAATCTGATAATTGGAATAATTTAGAACAACATTCGTTATACGAGATCATTATGAGAGATGAGATAAGAAAGTCAGTGATAAATGCATATATTGTTTTTCCTTTTATGTGAATCTAAAGATGCAATGAGAGATTTCTGTAAAGATTGAGAACTGGATAGTTGAAGTATAGTGATTTTTCGAATTTATTCAAGTCAATAAAATAACCCATTTGGATGTTACATCAGTCAAAGTGTATTGTTTTCCTGAAAATACATTGACTATTCTAAATTTGGAACATAATAACCACCTTTTAAATATATGTCGCAAATATGTGCCCATAACACGCTGATATAACTTTCAGTAATAATCTTATTTCAACTACACTTATAAGTTGAAGAACATATATTTGCCATACTTACTTCGTTCGACATGAATTTGAAAAGATATTGTATAAGAAGTATTTTGAACATATTTAGTATTTGTTCTATCGGGTGATTGTATTTGACCTAATTCTGGATTGTATCGTGGAGCTATTGTAGATGGAACAACGAATCGAATAGATTTTCCATCAATCAAATCCAATTCAGTCACATAACGAATTATGATTCGACATTCTTTGCCCGGTGGTAGAGCACCAACATTGATCTAAATAAAAATCATTGTCAATTATTAAATTTATCTTTCATAATGAAATGCAACATCTTACAATAAATGTATCCATTGTTTTCTCACTCTGACGTAATAGAGTTGCTGTTTGACCATGTGTAATTGCTTCATTATATTCAGTTTCAGCCACTTCCTTCTTTTTGATTTCGGCTGTAATTAGACGATCATCAATTTCAGCCGTTAAAGCATAGACAGCAGCATTTTCCTTCGAATAAAATTTCGATTATAGACACTATTCAAATAAATCAAATTTTGATTCAAATTCGGAAATCTGAATCACTTCTAATGTTTTAAAATGTTTTCTACTATCTATCACGACTAAACTATTGAATTTTTACATCACATCACTGATACATATTAGACAGCTGTCACTGGACACTTTTTTCTTTGTGTCTTCCTACACAGTGAAAAATTTTAATACCCAACTAAGCAAATTAGTGTGCTTTTTTTCTCTTTACTTCATGACAAATAAAAAATATCGACAAGATATCCTTGTTAATATATCGTAATATGAATCGCTTTTCATTTATTTCAGATAAAATTAATATTTTGTTCATCACTAAAGAATATAGATACGAAAACCATATTTATGTAACTTAA